AAGTAATCAAAAGTGCTTCAGCCGAAAGAAATAATGGCTACACCGTAGAGAAATAGACTTCGTATCGCTCTTTTATCTTCTTAAGCGACAGTTGGGCGATAATTATTATAATCCATTATTCATCCAACGAGAGCTCAAAGAGAGCGAGCTTTTTTAACCTTAATGCTAAAAAGAAATGGAAATAGTAATCTAAATTGTATATCGCCCACTTATCGAATTCTTATCACCCAGACGATACACTATTATGGTGTCGCCAAACCCTTACCAAAGTCTCTCAGGCAAAACACATTGCCAATTCCCCCAAAGAAATCTCACAAAAGTTTAGCAAATATAATTGCGAAGGTAGGAAAGCGATAAAAAGGCGATATAGCCAACAATATGCAAAAGTAATTCGAAGTATCGCCTTCTTATCTTCCAGGCAAAAACAGTCATATCTCTTAATATATATATAAATACTCTAAAGCCTAAATCAAGCAATTAAATTGGAAGATAGAAAGGCGATAAAAAGGCGATACCGATACTTTTAGAAATATCTCGGCCAAATACTGTCCGATTTCCGAATTATATACAATATTGGACTCGTAAGGATCAGTACTATAGATTGGCATTAAAAAAATTAAAATCTAAATTTTGATCAAATCGTCCAAAAAGCAAGAGGTTACAACACTTTTTTTCAAAATCTGGGTCGGTTCGAAAATCAAAACTTTTTTGATGATTTTTTTGTAATATAATTGTAAATATTGTCTGATTTTGAGATGTTATACCTTTTTGAATTCGTACGGATCCATACTATCAATTGGCATTCAACCAAATTCGAATCGATGGGTTAAAAAAGTTGTTGACCAAAAAACGATTCGTTTGTTAAGTCAACCTTTTTTGATGATTTTTTTGAAATATCTCGGTCAAATAATGTCCGATTTTGAAAATTTATACTATTTTGGACTCGTAAGGATTAGTAATATCGACTGGCATCAAAAAAAAATAAAATCTAAATTTTGACTCAACTCAACCAAACGTTCGGGTTCGGTTCAAAAATCAAAACTTTTTGGAGCTTTTTTTTGGAATATCTCAGATAAATTCCGTCGATTTTCGAATATTATATCTTTTAGAAATCGTGCGGAATCCTACTATTAGCAATCAATCAAATCAATTCGCATCAATCGACAGAGCTGCAACCAACTTAAAGTACACATTTTCCTCACAAGCCAAAACTGCATATCACGCTTATTATTTATCACGAAAATTAACCCCCGCCCCCTGCCTTATCTCTACCTTAGCCTTACAAGTAATTTACAAGATATTTCTCAAGCGCATCAGCAGCTCATTCAAAACTTGAAAATGTATTCATGCCGCTGCCCTCGCCCCACACACACACACACACACACGCGCACACACAGACATGCCTAGGTATTTATTGAAATGCATGGCATGCATATGCCAAAAACAATGCGGAGATTTGCACACACACACACACACGCAGACACACACAAACTAACACACACACATTGAAGCAGAGACATGTCAAATTTACAGACAATTTGAATATGCCGCACAATGCAAGCGTCGAGTGTTTTGTTCTGTTTGGATTTATTGTTATATTTGGATGTACATACATATGTATGTATATGCGCACACATAGTATATTATATAAATACATGTGTTTGGTATCTATAGCTGCCCCTCGAGCATTGCTAAAAGCATTAGCTGCGTGCTGCAAACATGCATACATAGATACGGCACATGTGTGTGTGCGTGAAAACAAAACAAAAGTTTGCAATTAATTTGGCACACATTGCTGCATAATAATTTTTGATTTTTTTATTTTGGCCGTCGCCCCACTGCGGCAATTGAGTAAATCCGTGGCAATTGGCAATTATACAAATTTCGCGCATAGACAATTGCAAATGCCAGACGTAAATAGATTGTAAGCAGTGTGCACTAGGTTAGGGTTGAAACATTTGCTGCGGCATGCGTGCGAAAGAGACGGCCTGAGCTAGTAATTCGGACTGTGATTGATGAGCCGCTAGACTCCAATGATGTGCCCACTGACAGGCAACAAATGATTCATCTGCGGGCCCAAAGTATGTAGCTGTCCCACACACACACACACACACGCATACGCATGTCATGGGTAACGTGAACTTTAACTGTGCAGAGCATTTACATTTGAGCTTTAAGTGCAAAGCTTAAAGCGGCAGACAAATGCATGCAAATAAATAACTCCCATAATGCTTACGGGTAAAAGGAGAGAGAGAGAGAGAGAGAGAGAGAGAGAGAGAGAGAGTGAGAGAGTTGCTGCGTGTGTGTGTGCGTGTCTGTGTGCGACAGCAGCCATCACCTCGTAAAACTATCAAAGCGCAGTCGGCGTTAACGTTGACTGCGCTAATGGCAGCGCGCTATAATATTTACCAAAACCCAACACAACGACACTTTATCCATGAGAGCTGCAGGTGTCACAAAAACATGGCGCGCACGCACACTCACACGCTCCTACACATATGCATGTGTGTATATGTGTGTCTGTGTGTGTACAAGGAATCACCGTTGCGCGCATTCCATAACAAATCCCGCGATACAAATCCGCATAACTTCAAACGTTGCCGACGTCCACGTCGTTTATTTGTATAAAATTAGTTTATGACGCGCTAAAACAAAAGGCGCACAGCCGCAACACACAGACACACGCACACACGCACACAGCGCTTCTAAACAGACACTTTAAAAGCGCTTTGGGCGCAAAGTTTATTATTTTAATAATTCGTTATATTTTGGCGGCTCTTTGACGCACAACAACAGGGCCAGGCAGACTGCACTGTATGAATCGAGCATGGCAACTATTTGATCAAGTGGTTAACCACAAATTTACAGACAAAAACTAAATGCATGCCAGCGATTTGTTTACATTTGTTGTTGTTGTTGTTGTTCTGCTTTCAACATGTGTGCGTTATTAATTGCAATAATTGATGCCCAATGTGGGCGTATTTGGTTTTTAGCTCTTTTGGCATCTGTTTGTAACGTGCCTTTCAAAAAATGACACTCAAGCGCCATCTGGCGTATATGAGCGCATAACATGCACAAGCGATAGTTGCGCGCGCTACGCTATCGATAGTTGCGAGTTTTAAATTTAAACACTGCGCATAAAATTCAATAATAAGGAAAGAGAACTACTCTATATTATAATGCATTTATTTCAAATACAATTTGGAACACTTGTTTTTGATCATCATCACCTTATACTTAAATCAACTGAATATGTGACACGGCGCCACATCCTCAATTTCCTGTCCGTCCAGCGTTTTTATTTGGCATTCGCATAGAAAATGCACAATTTTCCGTTCCGCCTGCCGTCGCTGCTCCGGGCCCAAGCCATCGAGCAGCATTTGCACTTTGCTCAACAAGCTTGCGACTGTTGTCTGCGCCGGCGCGTTGACCGCCTGCTGCAGCGCCTGCAGGCAATCCTTGGACTGCTGCAGCACAGTCTCCATATTGGAGATGACGGTGCCCATTAGCTTCTCGGCGCTGGGCACAAGTTGATCGTCCGCCAGGATGCTCTCCATCAAAGTTGATGAATCGCCCGTAATTTCTTCCGTAAGGTTCTCCTCCTCTTCGTCCTCTTCCTGCTCCTGCTCCTCCTCCTCGTCCTCCAGCATGACAGGCATGGAGCTGGCCTGCTGAGCCTCTAGAGATTCTGTGTGTGCTTCCAATAATTCATGCTGTGCCAGCTCATGCTCTTCGAGCGGCATTTCCATTTGCACATAGTCCATATGCGCCTTCTGTTCCGCTTCGCTGATCACCTCGAAATCATGCTGATCCTCGTACTGCAGCTCATCCTCCAGCTCATCGTTGTCGTTGTCGTTGTCCGTGCTGTACGGATAGTCCGCGCCCCAGATATGCTCGCCCGCCGCCGGGCTAAGGCTGTTGATTGTCTGCTTCGCCTGGCAGTTTTGCGAGGTTTTCGGCGGCCGGCCGCGTTTCTTGATATTCTCAATTATCAAGGGCACGCCCTTGCGGAAATGCCGGCCCAGAAAGAGCAGATCGTTGAAATATCGCCAGGTGATGGGCGCCGCCGGATTTATTTGATTATTGCGATATTCGCGGGCGAAACGATCGCGCAGCTTCTTCCAGCGATTGTAGCACAGTTCCTCTAAAAATCAAATACTTATTTTTATATATGGAAGCTCATGATAATCCTGTTTAGCTTACCGGACACACTCAGGCTCTCGGAGATGGCGCGCCAGGCTTCGTTTTTGGCCGACAGATTTTTGGAAATGCGTATTTTGTGTCTGTCGTAGAGCACCGGATGCAGTTTGACCAGCTCGATGAGCTGTTGGCACAGCTCAATATCCCCGGGATCACCCTCGTAATCCTCGTCGCGCTGTTTCTTCTCCTGCTCCTCGGGGCGGATGCGGCGCGGCTTCCTGTGCCTGGGCTCGAATTTCATGCCATCGAGACTCTCGTGCTTCACCAAACCGTGTTTGTAGTGATCCTTGAGGAAGAGCAGGCGCGGAAACATGTCCCAGTAGGTGGGGCTGTCCGGGTTCTCCTGGAACCGGCGAAACTCCTTGCCAAACCGATCGCGTATGCTCTTCCAGCGCGTAATGCAGGCCCGTTCGCTGGCGCCCATTTTTATTGATATGGTTTTCCAGGCTGCGTCCTTGTTGGCCGCATTTTTGGCACTGCGCGCACTGTCCTTGTCGTAGAGTATCGGATATTTTTCTATCAATCTAATTAACTCTACGTCGTTCATTTGTTTGTTATTAGGTAAAAAGCATAAACAAATTAAAAAAACTGCTTTTATTTATTTACTATTTTGCTCGTAAGAAAACAACTCTGCTTTAACCAGGGCTGCAACTGGTAATCGATATTAAATGCATCACGGCCTTTATTCATGTAATGCCGATACTTCCAGCGCTATGAAGTAAAATCGTGATAGCTGGCCACACACAAGTACCAAGTACCTGGCCACATGGATACGCGTATTGCATATTTCTGCTATTTTTATAACAAATAAATATAAATAAATGCACTAAGTGAATAGAAAGCAGCAGTGGACAACAAACTGCACAACACACACGGCAACTGAAGAGTGAAAATTGCAACAAAATTGCTAGACCAACGAGCGTGAGTGTTGGTGTGTCGGCTTGTGTGTGTGTGTGTGTGTTGGAATTTGCAAGTGTGTGTTCGGAGATCAGCCAAAAAAAGCCGACATCAACGTACGGGCACAAAAACAGCAAACGCTGCGCCCATTTTTTGTTGTTGATTCATTAAATACGATACACACACGCATACAAACCAAGGGGACAGCGAAAAGCACAGTCAACGCGCGTGTGTGTATATTTCTTTTTTACTCATATGTATGCATGTACGAATGCCCGTGTGTTGGTGAGTTGGAGCAGTCAGTCCAGCAATCTCCCCCATAATAAGTAGCCGACTCTCACACCAACACAAACGCATTCGCAGCAGCAGAAGCAGCGACTGCGACAACGGCAGCAGAAGCAGCAGCAGCAAAGAAACAGTTACCGCACGAAAGAGCGCCGCATTCACAACCGGAGCGGCAAAGGCAACGTCATAAATTTGTCATCGCTTTTGGTTATTTTCAAATTAGGCACATTTATATTTGAAATCGACTTAGTAAAGAAAAAATCAAACACATTAAGTCAAGATGATATTGCTGGAAATCAATAATCGCATTATTGAGGAAACGCTCCTGGTCAAATACCGCAATGCACAGGCTGGGTAAGTCTTCTTCTTTCACTTCTGCGCTGTCTCATTCGCTCTAACTGTTAAATTGCCCCCATTTTTTATTTTATTTTTATCTTTTCTCTTGCGTTGGCCCTTGTTATCAATTTTCGTTGCGATTATCAGTATAACACACACACATGCCGTTAGCGGAGCCTTACAAATCGGGTGTAGTTCAAACTTGGAGTACACGCATGCATTCTAATCATACGCCTTGGTGTGTGTATGTCAATGTGTGCGTGTGAGTAGTGTTTGTGTATTCTCCCCCTTCTCCCATGGCCGCCCGCGCAGCATTTGTTAAGTCATTTATCGCATCATTGTGCAATATCCCCAGCTCAGTTATATGTCATAAACCTCTCGCACACACACACACACACAGAACAGAAATGCACTTGAGTCATCGTCGCAATCACAGAAATGCCTTTTTGGGCGCCGGCTGCCAAAGCACAACAAACTACTCGATGGAGCCAAAGTGGCATATTCCGGGATTAATCCCGATTTGTGTCTCAAATGCTCCCATATTAATAAATGGACGAACGGCATCCTGTTTAATCCTTCATATTAAAACAGATGACTTGTGTTTGTGTACAGTTTATCAAATCTGTAATACTCTGTGGAGTCAAAGTGGCATATTTTGGGCCTTTCACCTAATTTGTGTCTCAAATGCTCCCATATTAATAGGTGGACGAACGGCATCCTGTTTAATCCCTCATATTAAAACAGATGACTTGTGTTTGTGTACAGTTTATCCAATCTGTTATACTCTGTGGAGTCAAAGTGGCATATTTTGGGACTTTAACCTAAGTTGTGTCTCAAATGCTCCCATATTAATAAATAGACGAACGGCATCCTGTTTAATACCTCATATTAAAACAGATGACTTGTGTTTGTGTACAGTTGATCCAATCTGTTATACTCTGTGGAGTCAAAGTGGCATATTGTGGGAAAATATCCCAATTTGTGTCTCAAATGCTCCCATATTAATAAATGGACGAACGGCATCCTGTTTAATCCCTCATATTAAAACAGATGACTTGTGTTTGTGTACAGTTAATCCAATCTTTTATACTCTGTGGAGTAAAAGTGGCATATTTTGGGACTTTAACCTAAGTTGTGTCTCAAATGCTCCCATATTAATAAATAGACGAACGGCATCCTGTTTAATACCTCATATTAAAACAGATGACTTGTGTTTGTGTACAGTTGCTCCAATCTGTTATACTCCATGGAGTCAAAGTGGCATATTGTGGGAAAATATCCCAATTTGTGTCTCAAATGCTCCCATATTAATAATTGGACGAACGGCATCCTGTTTAATCCCTCATATTAAAACAGATGACTTGTGTTCGTGTACAGTTGCTCCAATCTGTTATACTCTGTGAGTCAAAGTGGCATATTTTGGGACTTTAACCTAATTTGTGTCTCAAATGCTCCCATATTAATAAATGGACGAACGGCATCCTGTTTAATCCCTCATATTAAAACAGATGACTTGTGTTTGTGTACAGTTAATCCAATCTGTTATACTCTATGGAGTCAAAGTGGCATATTTTGGGACTTTCACCTTATTTGTGTCTCAAATGCTCCCATATTAATAAATGGACGAACGGCATCCTGTTTAATCCCTCATATTAAAACAGATGACTTGTGTTTGTGTACAGTTAATCTAATCTGTTATATTTTATTGATTTAAATTTACGTACACGCAATTTATGTCTCATATACACTCCAATATAAATTGTTAATCGAACAACACAGTGTATAATGCTCTTTATATAAGCAGTTGCTTGAAACTGTTATACAATGCTATTCTTCATGCCTTAAATATCGCAATGGGAGTCGAACAAACGTGGAACACTATCCCATAAATTTTTTGTTCCCCTGAATAGAATCCTTATTAATACCACATACAACCATTTTAAATATAGTTCGTAGACATGGAAGGAATTTAATTAACACTATTTTTTTAATATAAAACCTGCTTCATTAATCATACAATATTTCTGTTGTGTGTACTATAATCATGCTGGCATGCGAGCGATAAGATATTGAATGGAAAAAAGTAAACTGTTTATTAATGTGTTTTTTTTTCCTTTGCGTATTATTTTGCAGACTCAAACCAGAATCGATAGATATACGAATAGCAGACTTCGATGGGGTGCTATATCATATGTCCAATGTGAATGGTGATAAAACAAAAGTGCGGGTGCGTGTTCGATTGAGTTGTTTCTCTTTTAATTTTAACTATTGATTAACAAAACATATTTTACAATATTTTATAGATAAGCATTTCGCTTAAGTTCTACAAACAGCTGCAGGAACATGGCGCCGATGAGTTGCTGAAACGGGAATATGGAAGTCTGCTGACCGATACGGAAGAAGGTGAAAATATATATCAAATTGCTATAAAACTATATATAAAATGTTATGCTTTTATTTGCAGGTTACAATGTTTCTGTACTTATTAATCTAGATGATATACCCGCGGATTGGGAGCAGATTGCAAAGAGAATTGGACTGCTGAAGCGCAATTGTTTTGCCTCAGTGTTCGAGAAATATTTCGACTTTCAGGAACAGGGCGAAGAGACCCAAAAGCGAGCAGTCATCAACTATCGCAACGATGAGACGCTGTACGCCCCATTTAAGAAATTACCTAGAAAGTTTTATATATTAACCTTGATCTTAATCCACAGCTATGTGGAGGCAAAGCCTGATCGCGTCACCGTTGTGTTCAGCACCATCTTCAGGGACGAGGACGATGTCGTCATTGGCAAGGTATTCATGCAGGAATTGAGGGAGGGACGACGTGCATCCCATACAGCGCCACAAGTGCTCTTCTCGCACCGCGAGCCACCCTTGGAATTGGCTAACACCGATGCCAGAGTGGGCGACAACATTGGATATGTTACTTTCGGTACGTGATTCCCTGGATCTCTAAAATATCGTTTTCCCTAAGGAGCCAAAGTAGCACATTTTGAAGTCCTATTTCGATTTGTGTCCCAAATGCTCCAAGACTATTTTATAGACGAACGGCATTCTGTTTAATTCTTCATATTTAAGCAGTTACTTGTTTCGTGTACAGTTGTTCCAATCTGTTATACTCTGCGGAGTCAAAGTGGCATACTCTAGGAACGCATCCCAATTGTGTCTCAAATGCTCCAAAACTAACTAAAAGACGAACGGCATCCTGTTTAATCCCTCATATCAAAAAAGATGGCTTGTGTTTGCATACAGTTGATCCAATCTGTTATACTCCATGGAGTCAAAGTGGCATATTCTGGGAAAATATCCCAATTTGTGTCTCAAATGCTCCCATATTAATAAATGGACGAACGGCATCCTGTTTAATCCCTCATATTAAAACAGATGACTTGTGTTTGTGTACAGTTAATCTAATCTGTTATACTCTGTGGAGTCAAAGTGGCATATTCTGGGAAAATATCCCAATTTGTGTCTCAAATGCTCCCATATTAATAATTGGATGAACGGCATCCTGTTTAATCCTTCATATTAAAACAGATGACTTGTGTTCGTGTACAGTTGCTCTAATCTGTAATACTCTGTGGAGTCAAAGTGGCATATTCTGGGAAATTATCCCAATTTGTGTCTCAAATACTCCAAAACTAACCAAAAGACGAACGGCATCCTGTTTAATCCCTCATATTAAAACAGATGACTTGTGTTTGTGTACAGTTGATCCAATCTGTTATACTCCATGGAGTCAAAGTGGCATATTCTGGGAAAATATCCCAATTTGTGTCTCAAATACTCCAAAACTAACCAAAAGACGAACGGCATCCTGTTTAATCCCTCATATTAAAACAGATGACTTGTGTTTGTGTACAGTTGATCCAATCTGTTATACTCTGTGGAGTCAAAGTGGCATATTGTGGGAAAATCTCCCAATTTGTGTCTCAAATGCTTCAAAACTAACCAAAAGACGAACGGCATCCTGTTTAATCCCTCATATTAAAACAGATGACTTGTGTTTGTGTACAGTTAATCTAATCTGTTATACTCTGTGGAGTCAAAGTGGCATATTCTGGGAAAATATCCCAATTTGTGTCTCAAATGCTCCCATATTAATAATTGGACGAACGGCATCCTGTTTAATCCCTCATATTAAAACAGATGACTTGTGTTTGTGTACAGTTAATCCTATCTGTTATACTCTGTGGAGTCAAAGTGGCATATTTTAGGCAAATCTTCCAATTTGTGTCTCAAATGCTCCAAAACTAACGAAAAGACGAACGGCATCCTGTTTAATCTCTCATATTATAACAGATGACTTGTGTTTGTGTACAGCTTTTATATATTGTTATACTTAAAGATTTATTCTGTTTATCTGAACTTTAAAAACTAATAACTTTCTGTAATTTATATCTTTGCAGTGCTATTCCCTCGACATACCAACAAGGAGACACGGGATAATACTATCAATTTAATACACATGTTCCGAGATTATTTGCATTATCACATTAAGGTGAGTGTCAGATCAGACTCTTATCGCTGGTATTTCCATTATAATAAACTATTTCGATTTTATATAACAGTGTTCAAAGGCGTACATTCATTCGCGCATGCGCGCAAAAACCTCAGATTTCCTCAAGGTGCTAAACCGTGCAAGGCCCGAATCGAAGACTACGGAAAAGAAGACTATAACGTGAGTTATATACATATATTAAACTAGATTTGTTTTCTCAATCACAATAATAATACTCTTTATTTGCAGGGGGAGAACATTCATACGCAAAGAATGATGCGCTCAGTATAATTAGTTGTTTTTATATATAAAAAATATAAAAATAAAATTGTGTATTAAAAAAAAAAAGAAAAGTAAAAAAAGAGATAAACCGCAGAATTTTGGCAAATGTTTCCACAACAAAATGGTGAAAATAAACCCAAACCGTAAATGCAAGTAAGAGAAAGTATTCCAAAATAGATAAATCTAAGCCGGAGCAAGTTAATGAACAATGATGATGAAAATATAAATAGTTATGCGTTATTTAAATTGTATGTGACTGTGTGTGTTTGTCGAGTCAGAGAATATGTGGAACAGAATCAGCGTGAAAATTTGTTAACAGTCAGCGCCAAAAGTCAGCGTACACATTATATGTATATCAAAACTAAAGAATTGTCAAAAGATGAAACATTTTAAACTAATTGCCTAATAAATCTAAGTGAAAAAGTAATGTCGCAAACAATACCAATCTGTTAATGTCGCAATTGTCGTAATGCTGCCCAAAATCAGACAACCCAACTAGCCTGTATGTGTAGAGAATTAAAGAGAAAACAAAACACAAAAATCAAAAACAAAAACTACTTAAAGAACTTTGATACATTAATAAATCCAACAAAAAAAAACAAAAAGAAAGAAAGAAAAACTAATTACAATCCAAAAGCGAAAATATAACATAAAATGAATAAATCAAATGTGTGGACTGCGCTCTAGTTTTATTATCATGATGTTATATATAAGTATATAAGTTGTATAACAGATTAGATCTTAAATTTAACATTCTGCTTCTCGTTCATGCTTTCCACACTAGCCTGCAGGTTCAGATAGTCGCTCTGAATGCGCGCACAGACTGCAAGAGAGTTGAACGGATTGGGATCGTGTCAGGCAATAGGCAGGTGAATATATATATGTATATACTATCAGATATATTTAAAATTAAATTATATGTATATATAGATCCTACTTACATTGGCAGTGGTTTCTTATATAGGATTAGTATAGAAGTACAAATTTATTCCAATAGTGCGTATTTTTTTGGTGTTGTTTTGCGTTTTGTAAATTTATAGAAAGGCTCTAGGGATCATCATATTGTTCCAATTTGATATAAGCAAGTGCTGTGATGATAGAAAAGTGACAGAAGTGAGTGTTATTTATATAGTTGTAGTTCAAACATTCGAATCGTATAAATACAGTGAAAGCTCTACCAATTGACGCTTAATACTATTGCTTGCTTTTCGAATATTTTATTTTAACTTCTATATAATATTTTTAGTTAAAAAAAAAAGTATGCTTAATTTTATTACTTGTAGCCCTTGCTGTTCGCTTTAGCGAGCTTTCACTGTATTTATAGCTAAAACTAGCGTGCACTGCATAGGTTCAGACAGGCTCGAGGAATCGTTAATCATATTGTATATACACATGCGTGAGTCTACGATAGAGAGAGGAAAAAAAAAACTAAACCAAAAAAAAGGGCTTGGTCTCGCATTTGGGTGACAGCGGAAGAAACTGGGGCGCGTACAAAGTAATACACAAATTTCGTTAAATAGCTGCGAGTCGTAAAGTCGTATCTGAAAGATACTCTGTATATAATTATATATAGCATTTTTGTACCTTTCTGCAGATCCATATCGTCCATTTCGGAGTTTTTAATCTGTTGCAATTTCTCGCGAAACTTTTTGGTTATCTGTTTGCGTTGATAATCGGCTTCGATTTCCTGTTTGGTGCGCGGTATGCGAAAGCGTATGCAGCAGCAGACCATTATCACTGCAAATACCCAGTATTTTTTCGAATTTCATAATAATAAATACCGTCAACACACTCACTAATACTCATTAGTATGCCCAGCACGGAGGCTATGATGTGCCAGCGCCGAAAGCCGCCAATGGTGATTTTTTCTAGCCAAGCTTCCTTTGGATCTATGTCAAAGATATCGGTATCGTCGTCCATTCTATATTTTTTCGCGCAGGTATTTACTGTTAGCCTTGAACCCGTGCCCTATTTAAGCGTCAATTTCACGTCCGGCTGCGTTGCCTGGCCAATTCGGACTGTTCACTTGGCCAGGAACCAAGCCACACTCAATATGCTTTGGCTAAACTGGGTGCTAAAAGCATACACAAATGAGCTGGCCATTGTTCTAGGGCTACTTGCGGCACACCCTGTATGGGAATGTGTAAGAAAAGTGTAAAATAACAAATAAGGCAGGTGGAAACATGTTGAAAGATTCCCAAATACCCTGGAAACACTTTGATCAATCAGTATTCGGAAACTTTCTTTTTCGATTAAATCGGAAACTTTCTTTTTCAATTAAATCGGAAATTTTCGAATATCTAATTTTTCAATTAATATCGGAAATTCTTTCGAAAATTCATTTTTCAATTAATATCGGAATTTGATTCGAATATCTAATTTTTTAAATAATATTCGATTAAAATTCTTGATTATTTATTACGTGATTCATGATTTAACCAATTCTGATCATCATTCTTTAAGTACTGGGATTATTTACATTCATCTTGTGTCCTAGAAAACAGTGTAGCCAGATAATTTAAAATATTTTCCAAACAGATATGCCAAAACTTGTTCTTCATATTTTAAAAAGTGTAATTTATCAAAGGATTAAAGAGGGATTTGTTCGTATATAGCTTTTTTGAAAACAGTGTGACCAGTTAAAGTTATGTTTTCATCCTAAAGGATAATAGACAATTGATCACACATCAAGAGTTTCTTATCACAAGTAACTCAACATTTTCTAAACAGTTTTTACCATTTGCCTGATTGTAAAAAGTATTAAAAACCATTAATTCATTTAAAATCCTCTCCAACCAGTGTGACCAGTTTAATTTCAAAAACCATGTCAACAGTTAGGCTACACTCAAGACCAATATACCCGATTAGCCCATAACTGAGTGATTCCTAGTAATGCTAGACATTTTCTCCAACAATATGGGCCTTTTGTGCATATGCGAAGTGAAAAGGACAACGGACGCCCACCAGAACTGGGCGCGGTTAGCCGCATGCCAGCACAACAGGACACAGCAATTTTGCATACTAACAGGGCTACCAGAGAGAGAGAGAGAGAGAGGGGGGGGGGGGGAGAAAGAGATAGAGAGTGACTTTATAAGTAGCGACCGTAACCCCAACAGGAGACAAAATGCTGTTGGTTAGTTACAAAGGAAGCCACATGCTGGGCGCACCCAGCTCGAGGAGCTAACAGCTAGGAGCAGAAAACGCCCCGCTCGTTTGTTAGATATTTAATTTGTTGACTTTTTGCCAGCTTTAGGGTGGAGGGAGTGGGAGGAGCAGGGGCAGCGGAGCCAAGCGTGTGTTTGCCTAATGACTGTGGCATTTTCAGTCTGGCGTGCTTGTCGCGGGCGTTAAACATTATGTGATTGCAATTACAAATATTGTGGATAGATGACCTTTATTAATTACAAAAAAAAAAACGAATAATATTAATAAAAGCATGATAAGATACTGGGGAAAAGGCCAAGATATATGACAAGTATTACAAATATAGGGAGGCATACAAATTTAAATTTTCCAAAATTTAACGAATTCTAATTTTATTTTAATTTATTTCAAAAAGTTATAATTTGCCGTCGATAAGTTGGGTAGGGACTTTCTTTATTAATATTTTTCCGGTCTAAAGTTTCACTTGAAATAAATCTAAAATATTGGAACTAAGAAAATTGTCCGGCTAAAACAGATATTTGTGTCCATTTGTAGAGTTTACACTGCATTTAACAGCCAAATCCTGAACAAATGAGTTCAGAGGTTCATTCCATTTGCTTTCCTTTCTATTTCAAGTTAAAATAGCTCTAAAATACATTTTTTGTTAGTTTTAAACAATTTTCTCCCACTGTGCAATGACCCATTCCCACTGTGCCATGACCCAATGACCTAAAAAAAAAAAGAAATGTAAGAACCGTTAATAGATAAACGTAAATGTAGCACGCTTTAAAGTCGCGCCTTAACGCGGCATTGTCGTTACGTCAAAGCACAGGTGGCAACGCTGCAGCATTCACAATGGCCAGCGAGACATACTCGCCCAATACTGCGCCTGTGCGCAGAGCAATGTTACCGTTAAAAAACGAACGAGTTGCAATGCACACACACATACGCACACACACACACGCGTAAGCGAGCTTTCATTGAGGCACTCATTCAACAAAAATATATGCTTATCCTTGCCACGGCGCTGCTCAGTTTCAGTTCAGAGGCTCTCGTTCGGTGGCACACACGCTGGGCTCGTCGCAGGGCAAGAATTAAATTCAAACTAACAGAATTCACAAATCACAAGCAAAAGCAAAGCAAAGGCTGTGCTCAACACGGAAAAAAAGTTATAACCAAAACGAATTAAAACCAAAAAAGAAATAGAAATAAAAGCCACACACACACAGCAGCAGCAGCTGAAGCAAACGCCGTGGTCGTTCATTGTACGTATTCGTAACGGGCGTGTGTGTCCTGTGCGTGTGTGTGTGTGTACGTGTGTGAGTGAGCATGTGTGTGTTGAGTACATAATAGGGCCATGGAGTTTTATTGAAAAACGAAAACGAAAGAAGAAAAAAAGAAATGCTATTGCCTGCCACAGAGCGTTATATAGGCAATACCAGAAAATCTCAGCAGAGGCCACACACAGAGTGGAAAAAAGTTTCATGCAAATACGTTGGCCATGTGGGCCAAGCGACAGAGCGAAAATCAAAGCAAACTGTGTAAATAGAGCCATTTCCGAGGCCTATGTGCATACATAAGCACATATAGAAATTAAAAAAAAAATAATATATATATATATATATATATAGAGCCAGCAACAACAACACCCGACCTCCGCAATTTGGCATAGGTGTGGGAAAGTGTGTGCAAAAAAAAAAAAGAAAAAGAAGAGCAGAAAAAAGGACGAGGCGAAGGCAACGCGCGCGCGCCTTCACTGTGTGAGTGTAAAATGCGTGGGTGTGTGTGAAAGGTGTAAAAAATGTACATTTTGTGAATTGGCCACATATAAAAAAAAAGAGAAACAAAAAAATAGCAGAGAAGAGAAGCAGAGCAAAAACGAGTAACGAGTGTAACCAAAAACAACAACAACAACAACAGCTAACGTAACGACACAACGACAACCGTTATATTTAGCCGCCGCCGAGTCATTATACGACCTACTAACACCAACGCACACTACGCACAAATGTAGCCCAAGTTATTTGCTGCTGTTGTTGTTTTGTTGTTGTTGTTATTGTTGTTGCTGCATGTTTGCGGATAAAGCAATTTTACAACTAAGCAAAATGCACACAGATCTCGATATCGGTAACAATCTAAATCATAGCAAGTGCGCACTGCCAATGCGCCGTCAGCAGCAACAGCACTTTTATCAGCACACAACTCGTCCACCCACGCAGTGAAACTAATTATTAATTACAAAAAAAAAAAAAGAAACACCAGCAAATAAACAACAGCAAAGTAAGCACCGCTTTTTGTTTTAAGTTTTATTTAACACCAGCAATTAGCAAAACAATTTCGAATGCATTTGCCAATATTTTTGTTTTGAGCGCTCATCACTAGCTATTGCACAGCGCCAATATATCGATAATTGTGTGTTATTAATCGATCGAAGCTCCGTTGAAATGAATGCTTTTGCAGCTTGGCTTCGCTTAAAACATGGCCATTGCGCTATCGTTTGTTTTCGAATTATTGCTTTTAGATAATTGTCGATGAGCTAAGGCATATATCGATAGTATCGCTGCACGTGCAAAACTATTGGCACGAACAACTTGGCGCACACGCATAACTAAAACAAGTTGAAGAAGCAGCAGCAGTAGCAGCAGAGAGAGAGCGCATCCAATTGGACTGTCAGACGGACGCGCACGTACGTACGGTTTGTGTTACAGCGGCACTTTGCCTGGGCGCCCCCCCTCCCGGTACCCATAAAAATTCAAACAAAAGCAAACACAAATTAAATGTAATTAAGTGCATTTAAATTTGATGCTTACGTGATTTGTGTATTAGTGCGTGTGTAAGTGTGTGTGCGTGTCAATACGCCAAATACTGAGCGTGCGGTAGGCCGACAATTTCATTCATTTAACTTTGTTTCATTTCGCTGCGAGCGAAATGCACAAAACAAAAAAAAAGGACGACATTGTTGAAAATTATATAGCTAGTTTCATATTCCTCATTTTATGTGTGCCGCTTGGGGCTGCCCTTTTATTTCGCCAAGTTAATGTAAGCAATTTCGCGTGTGCCTTTCGCCTCTCTTTCACTGCCGCGTGTGTGTGTGTGTGTGTGTGTATTGGTGTTGGTTGGTTCTGATTGGAGCTGGTGTTGTTGCCGTCATCAGTTCTAGTTGGGGCCGCATTTGTTATGTCAATAATTAACAGTAAAACTTACGAAAAGCCATGGCAAAAAGGCAACAAAACGCTGCGTAAGGCGTGCTACACAGCTGTAAGCCAGTTTTCTAGGGCTGCAATTGACTCGTGTCTGTCCAGGGACACCCAAGGAGTTTTCTTCGTTTCGTTTTTCTTTTCTTTTCTTTTTTTTTTTTTGTCATGTGTGTCCTCATATGTTTGTGTGTGTGTAGTGTGTTGTTGCGCCCCACTCTTGCGGCCTGTGGCAGCAATTGCATTTGGCAATCACACGGAAAATTGATTTTTTGCCAAATGCGCGAACATTTTGCTGCATATTTGTATATGCCTTGCGTTTTTCTTCTTTTATATTTTTTTTACCACTTTCAGCCTGTTTTTGGGCATTCCAATTGAATTGTACAGCTGCTCGACGTTTGTCCAATTGGCACATTGTGCGTTGTTGTCGCTGCCGCAGCCGCTGCGGCTGCTGCCTTGGCTTGATGCTAACTTGGGTCCTCTTTTTGTATTACATTAAATATTTAAAGCATATGCAAATTTGAACAGTAGCACCATAAAAAAAAAACGCTTGTTATTGTTGCTGCCGCTGCCGCCGCCGCTGCTGCTGCTGCTGCTTCTTCTCGCAGCCATGACGTCGCTCTCACCTCTGTTCGCTCCGCAAATTCTTCCTTCTTTTTAGTAGCAGCGCGTGGCGTGCGTCCGTTTTTGGCTTAAGTGTCGTGTAAATCTTTTTGTGTGGCAAGTGCTCTGCCCATTTTAGCCTTTTTTTTTTTGGTTGTACCCTTTTTTTTTACTACCTTTTTGCATTATGGAGCACTTGCATACACCCTCGCACACGCACGCACGCACACAGACACACACACATACACACTGCAATCAACCGCTGGCTGCTCAATTCAAATGCATTTCGATTGCTTTCGCCTCTCTTCAAGCGCGTCTCTGCATGTGTGTGTGTGTGTGAGTGCACTCAACTTGTGAACTGCGATTCTTAAAAACCATTTTTCGTTGATTCCTTGTGCCTACCTACTTCTATTTGCGTTTGTGTGTGTATTTGTGTATTTGTGTGTGTGAGTTTGCCACCTTAAGCTGTGAACGGTACTTCCTTTTGTGCACGAGCGAGCGCGCCCCTTTAACCTGCCGCCTCCCTAGAGCTCCACTTGCTGCGACACGTGCCCAATTGTGCCGCAACAAATTTACTCTACTTTTTGGCTTTTGCTCCGTTTTCCGTGTACAATTGTCTATAAAAGCTCTGTGACCTGCATGCTAGGTATATGTGTGAGTGTGTGTGTGTGTGTCTGTGTGCGTGTTGCTTTGAACTCCTTTTGGCTTAGGGTGACCAGACTTGAAATATAGTGGAAGTCGGATATTGCTGAAACTCATTTTAGCTTTGATGCAGAAATACCGCTGCAGAGAGTGTTATATATTTGTGTCAAAACAGATCGATCGAGAAACCTTTACATATATAGTATTCACATATATTAATGATCAGTATTATAAGCTGTGCCGATAGAGTAAAGTCTTGCTGCACATGCTTTCTCAGGCTGGCAGTATATAGTATTTCGGCAGTATATAGTATGTAAAAGGTTGATCAATCCGGAGGATAAACCACATGTTTTAATTTTTATTTGGGAGGCAGCCAGAACAGTTTCCCATATAACATAGCTGATAAAGTCACGATCAACCATAGATCAATTGTATTCACAACCATTTATATCCCACGTCTATTGAAAAGGTATTAAAATAGAGTATAGAGATTAATATAATAGACAGAAAGAGGCATCTATGACCCAATCAGGCATATCGTAATACCAGGAAAATCTAAAAAAAAAAAAAACTATAATAACAAATTTAAGCTAATCTAGATTATCACCTAAACAGATCTCAATTCCCTTTTAAAACCTAGTATAGCAGAAAAATGTATTAATTATTATTATGCTACATATATTAAAATTAATTTCCATACAGAAACGAGTGCGATTTGTAGGAAAACTTTTGCGTGTTAATGGATTTCCGTCGAAATCTACCATCCAAATTCGCAGTCACTTAACCTTTTTTGCTTGTTAGTTAGTCCAACTAAAATGGGCTTCTAAATAACTATCCAAAATTCGAAGTTTTTGATCTTCAGTATATATCATATTGCTTCCATAAGAATAATTGGTTGACATTTTGGTTTTCACCTCATAGTATGTTTATCTACCTTCATGGATTTGACTAATGGGCCCATTTTTTTGTTGTAAGCCAGAACTGTTTGCCACTTCATCCAATCGATTGGCAAGGTCAACGCCAGCTGCTGATAACCATAACCATAAACAGTCAATGTGGTTGAGGTTGTTCTGGTTGTTGTTGTTGTTGTTGTTGTTGTTGTTGTTGTTGTTTACTGGTCGCAATTAAAACTTGTTGATTGTGGGCGACTGTCAGGTTGGCAGAGACAAACAAACGCCCAGACAGAGAATCAATTTGATTTATTTGACATACTTACAAGTGAAATAAAAACAAAAACGTAAGGGCCCTTTTATGGTTTAGTTGGACGTGAAGCTGATTTGAAGTACAAATTAAATAAAATATACATTTTAGTTCAACTTATTCTGAGGCTCGAGCAGCTAGCGAAATCTCACTTGAGCTGTATTTTTGAATGTCTAAATTAAACATTAGAAATATTATAAAAATGTTAACAATAATAAGAAAATCAGTGAAGGCTCTTCCATATTTTGATCCTGCTGAGAGGAATGTCCTTTGAAAAGAAATGTCGAAAATTAGAAAAATTAACTGATTTAAGATCGTTTCGGTTTTTATTTTAAATTAGAAAGCTTTTCCGCATATTTCTATGTATGAAAATTGTAAATAAATAGGGATGTTTAAAAAATGTTCAATTTTGGTTCAAAAATATTGCAAAATGTTAATATTTTTGCTATATTCATAATTTCTGATAAGTATATTGTTTGGTCTGTTTCCAAAATCCTTTAAACAAAAATGGTCCACATTCCCAAAGGATAAAATATGCTCAGGAAAAGTAGGAAAAGAAGACTTGGGCTTAAATTAAACTGTTCGTCAGCAGAGCTTTCACTGTACTTAGATTATTATTAAATATACAATTTAATTTTTACTAATAAAAACTAATTTTCTTTTATTTTTTCTTTTCTCTCTTGCAGTTTCTGCTAATGAAATCACGTGGCTAAGAAATAAAAATAAGTTCAAGCAAAATAAATTCTGCAACCCAAAAGCTAAAACAAGTGCAACAAAAAGTGCTCAAATTCCAAAAAATAAATAATTATATTAATCAAAAGCCTCCCGTGAGCGTGTGAGGTGTGTGCAGCGCCTATGTGCCAGTGTGTGTAAGTGCTTGTGTGTGTGTGAGCGTGCTGCGTCTGTGTGTGTGCGTGTGAGTGTGTGTGTGTGACTGGGACTAGAGCCAAAGAGTCGTCACAACGTCGTCCGCAAAACCTTCGACATCAGCCGCTGCTGCTGCCGCCGCCGCCGCTGTCGCCGCAATCGCCTCCAAGGTTAAAACTCAACTCCAGACATCCAGGCAAGGTTCGCCACCGCCGCCAGCAGCAGCAGGAGCAGCAGCAGCGGGAGCAGCAGCGGGAGCAACTGCAGCAACAGCAACACGCAGCGGCGTACGCAGCGGCCATCGGCGTCGCAGTAGCAGCAGTAATCCAAACGCCGGCAACACGAAAGCGACCAGCGGCAGCGGTGGAGCTGGCTGCGCCGGCGTCGCTGGTGGCGGTGGTGGTGGTGGTGGTGGCGGCGGGGGCGGAGCTGGCGCTACGGCAAACATTAAGCAGAGCGTCAGTCGGAACAGCAACATACGGAGCAGCTCCTCCAACAGCACCATGGCATCGGCGAATCATCGGGGCGGACATCGCGGTATCGCCGGCGCCGGCGCTGGCGCTGCCGATGGCAATCCGGCTGGTTTACAATTCGGTTCCGCCTGGTTTCAGCGCAAAATCAATCTAAGGCCGCAGCATCGTGGCGTCCATTTGGTCACCGAGGAGATACTTAGACAAATGCCGGAACTGACGCAATTCTCTGTGGGATTATGTCATATGCAAAGTAAGTAGAGATTTTCCTTCAAAGCATTTAAAAGATTAGGTACTAATAAGTAGCAAGAGGCTTGCCAGGTTCATGGTAAAATGTACATTCTAAATAGTTATTGGAGAAGTAAATGGGCTTATCTTCTTAAACAATTAACTAGGAGAATTCCCATTAGAAGATGATTTATGTTTATAGTTAGAAATGGACAAATAATGACAGTACTCTATAAATTATACACTACTAGGTACATGGTAAAGAGTACATGATAAAAAGTCAATGGCAAAAATAAATGGGATTATATCAAAAACAATTAAGTGAATTCATTCTCCATTAGAAGATGATATATGCTTATAGCTAAAACTAGACCTGATTGACATAGGTACAATAAACATTACACATTACAAGGTACATGGTAAATAGTTAATATTAAATATTATGTGATATATAGATTGAAACAGGCGCGTACTGCCGTTAGAAGATGCTATATGCATTTAAACAGAAATATGCAAGTGGGAATCATAAATTAAAAACTACCAGGCACATGGTAAATAGTACATTACAAAAAGTTAATGACATAAATAAAGGGGATTATATCACAGAAAATTATGTAGATAAATTCCTCATTAGAAGATGATAAATACTTATAGTTAGAAATGGAAAAACATTACATTACATTACAGTTACATGGTAAATATTAAATTATAAAAATTATATGTTATATAGATAGCAACAGGCATGTACTGCTATTAGAAGATGATATATTTTCATATAGATAGAAATGGACATATAGTCCCTACAAATTCAAGTAAATAGTACATGACAAATAGTATATGTTATATACCCAGAAACAGACTCGTACTGCCAGATAGTGCTTCACATAGAATTTTATAATTGAAAAAGAAAAATTTCAATTTAAAATTAATTAAGGTCTAATTTTTGCTCAAAAATCATTCAAAAAATGAGAAAAAATTAGACTTGTAGAGTGATCAGTTTCTAGTAAACTTCCATAACTTGTCCTCTCCGTGTTATATTCAGTTCCCGATAACCATAATCTTAAATTGTAAATGGTAGATGGTAAATATTATACATTAGGTAGCATAAGAGTTATTCGAGGCGAAAATCATGTTTCCATGAATTTGCTTTTTGCCGAAACTATCTAATTTCTTTCACCATGACACAAATTCTTTTGGCATCCGAGATTTGAAATAGGTTTTCAAGCAAAGCGGCTTTTAGCCCAAAAGTTCAGCTGAACAAACAACAAAATGCAAAACTTGAATAGCACAAAGCACAGAAAAATATATATATATATATATATCTCTATATGTGTATATAAATTTAGCTAAAAGTTAAAAGTTGCATTTGGACGGACACTTTTAGATATTTTGCCAGCAAAAGCAGTTCATTTAGGTTTAGTGGCAGTAACTGGGTTAAGTGACATACCCATGCATACATATACATATATATATGTATATGTATATATATAAAGGTTCTGCTTCCTCTTGGTCATCGGCTTTGTTGAGCGCCGAAAACTACGTTGACATCGATTTCATTTGGCACAAATTGTCCTGTCTATCGCTGCAATTCAATCGAACACAAACAAAATGAATTGTCCACGTTTTTCATTGAGTACCCTTAAATTCAAGACCAATGACAATTTTAGTTTTGATCTAGAAATTCAGGCAAATATTTCGAAATTCATTTCAAATGCATACAACTTAAACGATTAAATTATCCGGAGGATAAATCATGATGTTAAATGTTGGGTACATTTAACAGGAACTTGTCAACTGTACAAGTAAACATTTTTGGCATTTGTGATTTGTGGGTTAAGATTTATCAACTGATAATCAATTTGGGTTTTGAAACCTTTTACAAAATTGTTTTCGCGTTTTCAAAAAATATACTTTATTAGAATTTGTGGGTAAAGGAATTTTTCAACTGAGAATCCATTTGGGATTTAAATTTAAACGAAATTGTTTTATTCCAAAAATATACAGGGATACTTTTTTTAAGAATAACAATTGAAGGTTTAACTAAAGGGGAAAACCTATTTTGATATTGTTATTCCATATGGAAATTGGTATTTTTGGAAGATAGAAGTCTAGAAAGTTAATTTACTTGAAATTCTTTGGGCTCTATAATCAGGCTAGACAACAGATTGATATGTCATATTTACCAGGGCTGCAAAACTAGGTATTTTTCGAAGGTAGAAGTGTAGAATATTTATTTACGTAGAATTCCTTGGCTTAGATAGGCTAGACAGGATCTTTATATACCATGTTTCCCAGGGCTACAAAAAAAGTATTTTTTCTAGAAAGACAGAATACTTTATCCCCTATAAAGCGTCAAGACTGAATCTAGATAGTTACTAGGGTTGGAAAACGAACAAAAAAAAATTGTCAGTGGTTCGGTTCACGATGCGAACTAGCTCCCAGCCTTAAGGTTAGGTTCTTAAAGCTGTTTTTTATATGCCAGCTTAGACCTTGGTTTTGTTTTGTTCTTAAACAATAGTTTGAGCTTAAGGTTCAGTTCATAGGAACCGGTTCGGCTTAAACACAGTTTATCTATTTTCCTCATAAGACGCAAACCGCTCAAATTTTGTATAGGATATATGTTTGCGGCTGCAATTGCGGCTTAGCTTAGTGCACGTTGCACTAATTCCCGTTCAAATTCTTGTGGCTCGACGACTTCTGACAGCTTCCAATGCGGCACGGAAAAACAAAACAAAAAAAAAAAAGAAAGAGCAACAACAATGTGAGCCTCGAGCTTTTGCGGTCTTGTTGACAGTTTGCATTACAATGGCAGGACGCGTTCCCAGTGCCGGGGCTCAGTATCGCTTCAGACATGGGCAAATAAATAAAATCGTATCATAAAACGCCAGTCGGAGCTAACGGCATGAGGTGCCGGGCACACAGAGGGGGGGGAGAGTTTTTTTTTGTTGGCCAGGCCCGCTTAGAAGGAGCCTCAAAGTGAAAAGCAATCGTCGTCGTCCGCGTCGTCGTTGTCGTTTCTCATGTCTTCATGTCATGGCTCTGTGGCTATGGCGTGTGAATGCTCGAGGCAAACTTCTTCCTGCCTGCATGACTCTTCCCCCCCACCCCCCCATCCTCCCTATCAGCTGCTGTCCCTAATCCCCCTGCCTGCAGTGCACACAAATCGTCTTAGCCCAGTCGAGTCTTTATTATGGCTATCTCTTTCTTTTTGCATACTCTCACAGCGGGTATTACACTTTTGTGAGTAAATGTGCAACGGTTTGACGCAGACATCCGAAATATATTTGAAATATATATATTCTTGATCATTGAATTGATATTGAATATTGATAAGATATGTGTTTGCCTGTCTGTCTAGCTCTAAGTGTCTTGACAAAGCTTTGTCTTTTTGCTCATCGAAGAACTATATTATAAAGTGTTTAAAAAATTGTAATAAATTCATTTAAGCATCAGTTAACAATATTATATAGCTGCCATAGGTTGCAAACGATCGAATACTTATTGTATAAAATATAGTGTTTGATTGAAGTAGTATGAAGAAGCTGAATGTTCGAATTCCGTGAAGAATTGAACCCATTAAAAGTGGATAAAAGATTAAATTGGTTTTGTGCAAATCTATGTAAGAGGCAGAAGGAAGCACATCCGACCCCATAAAAAGTATAAACATATATAAGTATATACATTTTTTTGCCCAAATATCTTCAAGGTGTTTTTTTGCATCATGCAACTTTCATGTATTTCAGTAGAATTTGAACACTAAATCAATTAGGTTCTATGGAAAATTTTGAAAAAACTTTGCCAATATAGAAAGGAATATATCAAGAGGAACATATCACAAAAAATATATCGCACATATACATCAGCAAGGGTATTTAATCGTCGGCTGCCCGGCCCAGAATTTTCTGTTATTCTTTTACTATGGGCCAAATGAAAAGCACGTGTGTTTATTGTGCTGCGGCCCGCCTCGCGACCCACCTCCTGCACCCCAAAATGAATCTCTGTGCTACGTATATATGTGTGTGTGTGTGTGTGTGTAAGTGTGTGTGCGAGTGTGTGTGTTTCTTGTTGTCTGGGGATCCGTTTTGGGTACGTGTGTATTGTGAACTGTAGTAAGCGGAATCTAATTGAGGTCAAGACATGTTTATTGATTTTCTTAAAAGGACTTCCTAATTAGACTCACTTTACTGAAATATGGGCATGTGTGTGTGTGTGTTTGCCTGTCTGTGCGTGTGTGTGTCCCCTCTTGAACGGAACCAGGCTCGTGCCTGCAACTGCTTCTCTTTCTTTTGTCACCAACCAGGTAAAATGTGCAGCGCCATCACAAATCAAATGCCAGTCAAATCCCCTTCACAAGCCCCCCATCCCCCCTCCCCCTCCTCCCTTTATCCACTCTCCTGCCCCGCCCATCGCCTGCAGCCCTGCACAAAATGGCACACAAAAAAAAAAGTTAATTTCAAAAAATTATTTCAAAGCAACCTTGCCATATGTTTATTCTTGTTGTCTTTTACTATTGACCTGAATACCCTGTCATTGCTTCTATGGGGAAATGCACACACTCAAACACACACACACACACTCTAAAACGAGAATGAAGAAGCAGAAACTATGGAGAAAGCGACAGACAGGGACAAACAAATACAAAGCCAGCTCCAAATTTAATGGTAACTTGTTAAATGACAAAAATATTATTCAAAGAATTTCCAACAAAAAAAAAAGAGGGAAACTGGCAGAAATAATAAAAAACAAAATTTGAATATACAAAACATGAATATAGCTAATGGGCCTTTCCTTCAAAATGCGCCATGAAAATAAAATGTGTCTTCCCCTCGTCAATGCATAATACTCATATTCTGAATGTTTCCGGTATTTTGGTAGCCGGAGTTTCCTAGAAAAGGAGCTCTAAATTCTATAGTTAGATATATAGTATAATATTGTATAGTGTAGTATAATGTAGTGTGGTATAGCATGGTAAAAAATGTAGTATAGCATAGTATAATAGAGTATAGTCAATGATAATATAAATAC